TCCATTTTTGTGGACTGTAATTTAATTTAACTTAGTTCATCGAGTGCATATTGAGTTCCTTCCTGCCCTATATTGTTTCAGGTGGAATGGAGGATACAAATAAAGAATAAGGTACAGGGCCCACCTTCATGGAATTTGCAATCAAAGTGGGACTTCTACATCTTACTAGGTAGAAAAATATAATATTTAAAGAAACACATTATAATCAAGGAACTGCTACTAGAATTCCTCTTCAAAAAGGAATCATATTTGTTTAGGATAGTACCTTAATAAATGCTAGAAGGCAGGTGGAGACCCCTGAGGAATCTGGGTGTGGGTTCCATGGCTCTGTATGAGAATGGAGGAAGATGATGCTTGTGCAGAAATGGGAAGAGAAAGAGAGGGTCTGAGCCTGCTGGGTGGTGAAAGCTGCCTGGTTCACAATGGAATTTGCTTCCTGGGAGCCTTCAATCTTCAGTAGAGAACTTAAGCCCACAAAATTGCTGGTGTAGGTTTTTTAAAAAAAGTTTTTTGGTTTGTTTGTGGAAACTGATCGTATTAGTCTGTTCTCATCCTCCCAATAAAGACATACTTGAGACTGGAGGATTTATAAATGAAAGAGGTTTAATTGGCTCACAGTTCCACATGACTGGGGAGTCCTCACAATCATAGTTGAAGGTGAACGAGGAGCAAAATCACGTCTTACATGGCAGCAGGCAAGATAACTTGTGCAGGAGCTCCATTTATAAAACCATCAGATCGTATGAGACTTATTCACTACCGTGAGAACAACACAGGAGAACCACCCCATGTTTCAATTATCTCCACCTGGCCCCACCCTTGACACATGGGGATTATTACAATTCAAGGTGAGATTTGGGTGGGGGCATGGCCAAACCATGTCACCGACGAAAGGACTAAACTTTGCACCCAAGGAAGCACAGAGTAGAGCTGGCAGAGTTATACGAGCAAAGACTTAGAGAACCACAAGGAAATTACTTCCAGAAATGACAGAAATCACGTGCAGCTTGACCTGAACAAACTGTAATAGTAGCACTTTTTTCATATTTATCCAAATTCCTAAGAGAATGGAGTCTCTGACATTTGATTTCCATGTAAATATAATTAGAAAATAGCAACAAATGGATGAGCATCAAATGTAAAAATACTTGGGCCTACTATACAGATAGGGAAACTAAGTCATAGGTAAAGAACAGATGGGACTGAATCATCTCTGGACACCGGTGAAGAGACTCCTTTGGACTTGAGATCAAACTCATTTTCTTGTCTTTCCAATCAATCAACAAGAATTTACTGAGACTCTATTATGTACTGAGTACTGAGAGAGCTGTTAAAGTAGTGTAAGAGATGTTCTCTGGCCTCCTAGAACCTAGCAACTATTTGGAGAATTGAGGCTAGCAGAAGTAATTGACACTTACTGACCACATGATGGATTCCAGACATTGCTCTGGGCACTTTCCATACATTACTGCATGGGTTTCTCAGAACAACACTGTGAATTTATTGTTATGCTCATTTTACAGATGAGGAAGTTGAAGCCACAGAGGGTATGAGTAGCTTATCTGTAGTCACAGAGCTATCAAGTGGTAGACCCACAATATGAACCTATCTATCTGGCTCCAAATAACATCACTGAAAATGATCTCCATGGTAAAGATGATGTTGCCAAAACTCAGGTTCTAGGATACATGACATAAACCACTGGTGCTGCAGCAGTCCAAGGGAGAGGGAAGAACAAGAGCTGGGATGGTCAGGAAAGGTGACAGAAAGAAAGGAAGATTGGCCTGGGCATCAAGGCTGGGCAGGCATGGTGGACAGCTTAGGGTGCAGCAGGAAGGAGAGTATGGGGTGTAGCCTGGGGCCAGGAATGAGCATGCACTGGATGGAGGATGATAAAGGAAGGGTTGGCTGCTCAGAGGGCTTTTGACTAAAAAGGTTTGAGTCAAAAGAGCTTTGACATCACATCACTACTGCCTTCTTTATGGGGACCCCATCTCCAGAGGCTAAAGCACAAACCACAAAATCTGTAGTTCCCATCTTATTCAGCTCTGCTACTGACTTTTTCTATGATTCTAGATACTCCTGTCTGAGTCTTAGTGTCCTCAAAATAAAATTAGTGCATTGGGTGAAATAAGCACTATATTATAGTTCCCTTAAGGTTAAAAAAGTCTACTGTTTTTATTTGTATCCAAAGATTAGAAAAAAAATAGAATTTATAAAATATTTTTCAGGACCATGGCCAACTTGTCTCTCAGATCTAGATGGACTGGCAGATGCTTGTCATAGGACAAAGGTAGCAGATTGCTTTCATCCTCTTAAGACCCTAGAAAAGATAGAGAGGGCTGGCGTTCTCATCCTGAAGCCTTGGTGCCGCGCCCAGTCATCGTTAGTTCCTGTGAGTTGGTGGGCAGCAGAGCAACCAACATCAGGCGCGAGGGACAGGAGGCTGACTCGCCAGGCATTACTGATGCAGTTTTGTCATATTATTTTCCAGTTCAGAGGTACTACTTTGTCTGTTGGTTTTATTTTTTTAATCTCAAGTGAAATTGGAGAGAAATATTATCTTTTAAAATGATATAAATGGTGGGGGTGTTTCTTCTCAAATCAACTGTTGTATTGGAAGTTCCCAAAGTATCTATGATAGAAGAAGAAAGAGGAACTAGTCAAAATAGTAAGTGCTACTATAATGGTTTGCTGAATCAGTTCCATAGGCTGATGAAACACAAAGTTCAGGCTATTGGCTTTCCTTCTTATCCTAGTATTAGAGTGATTTCTCCAGTGGTTCCTGGTGTCAATATCATAAACCTTGAATGGATCAATCTCTCTCAAACACACACACACACACACACGCACTCCTGTGCAGAGGGTTCTCAGTGACCATAAGTCACTCAGAGTGGAGCTACTCCTTCCTCCAGCATCAACAATGACTCCAAATGTCATGCTTTATACAAATTCAGAACTCTCTGCTTGTCCCTTAACTTTTTTTTTAATCAGAGCATATGACTGTTGAAGTTGGTATCTGGCAAAATTAAAACATTTAATTTAGGGGACAGAACCTATAACCAAGGTGTTTGCAAAGTCAGTTCAGTAAGATTCCTTGGGCTAACTTGATGTATGAAAGGCCCAACGAGAAAAAGAATCTTTTCAAACCCAGAAGGCAACTTCTGGTCAGCTATCAGGCTGGAGACCCCTTTGGATCTTGTGGGATGCATTTTATGAATTCATTGAGACTGTCTGTATCTTTGGTCGACTCTGTAAACATCTGATTGTGTTTGACACTTACTGACCACATGATGGATTCCAGACATTGCTCTGGGCACTTTCCATACATTACTGCATGGGTTTCTCAGAACAACACTGTGAATTTATTGTTATGCTCATTTTACAGATGAGGAAGTTGAAGCCACAGAGGGTATGAGTAGCTTATCTGTAGTCACAGAGCTATCAAGTGGTAGACCCACAATATGAACCTATCTATCTGGCTCCAAATAACATCACTGAAAATGATCTCCATGGTAAAGATGATGTTGCCAAAACTCAGGTTCTAGGATACATGACATAAACCACTGGTGCTGCAGCAGTCCAAGGGAGAGGGAAGAACAAGAGCTGGGATGGTCAGGAAAGGTGACAGAAAGAAAGGAAGATTGGCCTGGGCATCAAGGCTGGGCAGGCATGGTGGACAGCTTAGGGTGCAGCAGGAAGGAGAGTATGGGGTGTAGCCTGGGGCCACCATGAATCAGTTCCATAGGCTGATGAAACACAAAGTTCAGGCTATTGGCCACCATGATTCTGTTCCTTTGGAACCCAACGATTTTTCTTTCAATTTCTGTCCCACAAATTCATCACAGGTTCAACAACAAGCAGGCTTATTCCACAATCATCCTCATAAGTTTCCCTTATACATTAATGTTAGCATCTGGTGTTACTCTATTTAGAACCTTAGTGCGAATATTCTACTTAGAACTCTAGTGCTTCAGCTTGGTCCCCACTGTTTCATTACCCTGGTGTAACTTTTCCCAAGCCCAAAAGTCTCTCTGACTCTCCAAGAATTCTGTCTTTAGTATTCAGCCACATTTCTACTCCTAAATCAAGCTCTAGTTCTTGAGGTTCTCCAGGCTGTTTTCCTTCTCCATAAAATGGGAGTAATGAGTGTACCTACCTTGTAAGATTATTGTGAGGATTAAATATGTCAGTATACGTGATGCACTAAAAATATGTGGCCTGTTGCAAATGTTCAATAATTGTTCATTATTATCTTATTGAGCTACATGTCTTGTTTACTGGGGGCAATAGTTCTCATTCACTGTTTTTCAAAGTGTTGCTCCTAGTTCAAAAGAATTTGATAAAGTGGGTAAAGGAGAGAAAGCAATACAAGTTTTCTTTCTGATTTTGAGCCTTGATGATTAGTTCTCAGGCTAATTTTAAACATGAAGATGATTTAGAGGAAAGACTAAATACTTTCCATTCAGTTCAGGTCTGCTGGGTTCAACACAGTTATTTTCATGAAAGGACAGCAATAGCACTATTATGTTTATTTTTAAAATAGATAAGTAAATCTTTCTTCCTCCCAGTGTCTCATGAGAATAGTGTGAATTCACAGGGACGGCACATGGAACCATTATGTTCTCTTTACCCAAAATGGATACAGGACACATTAGCAATCTTAAGATGGAGAAACTGGGCAGAGAGATTGACTTAGAAGAGATGAAGATAATTTAATTTTAGATATGTGGTAGTTGAGTTAAAAATAAAGCATTTGGATAGAAAAATCTTTATGAAATTAAGAATGTGAAAGTATAGTGAAAGAAATTAGAATAAGAAAACAGACACAAAAATTTTCAGTGGTCTAAAGCTGATCTCTAAAACCATGAAAACAAACATCTCCCTTGGGAGAGAATGCAGAAATAGAACATGAGGCTCCGTTATCCCACTTTCATGTAGGATGTTTTTAAGCTCAGAATACTTTTGAGATTGCTCTTTGACTTCTTTTTTTTTTCCAGAAACAAAGCCATGGGCAATGTATGCTGGGCTGTTAGGGGGTGCCATCATGATTCTCATCATGGTGGTAATACTACAGTTGAGAAAAAGAGGTAGGTGTCTGGCAATAAAGAGATTCTTATCACACTCTCTGTGGTAAGCAGGGGACCTCTCCCCACAGGCTCGGACTTGATCTCACCACTTTGGTTTTCTGCATGGGGCCACCTTTGCAAAAATAGTAGATAAACATATCCTGGGACCTTGCTTATTTCAGTCTAATTCAACATGTCTTGATCCCCTCTACTAGGCTATGGAGAGAAATAGAAGAGCCACAGGTTTCCAATGTGAGAGACATTATTCATATAATTTCAGTTTAGTGTGACTAGCACTGCTGTCAAGGTAAATACAGGATGCTGAAGAAATGTACAAGAGGTTTAAGAGTATTCACTGGGAACAGAATTCAGAAAATTCTTGGATCTCATCCAAAAAGTCACCAAGGTTAGAATGAAACCAATAAGGCACAATTATTCCCCTGCAGTTTAAGTGCCTAGAAGTACCATCCCCTGTCCTCTCTTCCAGATGTCCCTATGATTCAATATCTCAGGGCATTGTGCTCCCCTCAGCCACCTTGACTACTACCAACTAATACTGGAGTCAAAATGTCCTGACCCAAGACCAGGACAGATGCCCTGGCTGCCTTCCGATGGTAAAATAGAACTTGGTCCTCAGAACACTGAGCTGATGACTGATTTCATTCTCAAGTAGATCAATGTCATCTACATGCAACCTTCTTAGAAAAGCCCTTACCTCAGCACTCTGATGTTGGTTTTGCTTATATAAAAAATCTAGATCATAGCACAGCGACCTACTTGTGTCTCATTTCCTCCATCTAAGAGTTAGCCAGGCAGGAGGGATGCGTGATTCAGATAGAAATTAGGTTGACAGCCTATCGGGCTGGGGGTAGGGCAATTACATTTAGCTTGTACTATAAGGAAATAGTGAGATTTTTGGATGTTCAGGATGAGAAAACTGAACTGAACTTATCCACATTACCTACCTAGCAAAATTGCTGGCATCCTACGCCATACTCTTTCCTCAACTACACTTGGCTTATCACATGGTTATGCTCTAAGGAAATAGTTCTCCCCATCCCACAATTCCCTACTACCTTTCCCAACACACATACCCATCCTCACCACATCCCCATTTACCATTTGTCCCTCGTAAGTTAGCAACACACAAAACTCTGCCTCTAACTTGTGGTAAAATTTATATTTAGTTGCTGTACCTTTCACAAAACCTTGCTAAATAAATTTTATTGGCAGCTTCTAATGATATAATCATCAGAATGCAGCCTGATGCTGAAGGCTTTTCAATGGACTCTTTGGCAATTTCATGTCCAGGAGAATACATTGATTAAGAATGTGGGTATAGGCATTAAATAAACTTACATTCAGATGTAGATTTTGCTACTGACAAGCTGTGTGATCAAATGACTTAACTTCTCATCTGCAAAATGGAGGTAATATTAAGTATTTCATGGTATTGTGGTGAAGATTGGTATCAATACACGGAAAACACTGAACACAGTGGTTCCCATTGATGGGTGATAGATAGATAGATAGATAGATAGATAGATAGATAGATAGATAGATAGATAGATAGACAAATCTCTTAGTGTAGATGAGTTAAAATGGCAATGTTTAAGTGCTATGACCAGGAGAGGCTGCACTAGAAGCATCTGGAAACAATACCTAGAACAGATTTAAAATATTTTAAATCATGGTAACATAAGACTTTATGCTTCAGGTAAGAACTGAAAAGGATATTAGATACTCTACACCCTCACGTTACAGTTATGGTAAGAGAAAAGACCCACTGAGATGATGTGATTTGTTCAATGCCACTCAGCTTATGATGGCTACAATGTAGATGTTCTAATTTTAAGGCCAAGACTTATTCATTAGAGCCTAAGACCTTGGTGACTTGTAGTTGAGTTGAGTTTACTCCTAAAAACCTGTTCTTGCACTGGGGAAAATAATCTGAGACTAAATTATCTTGGTCCAATGATCCTTTTAAGCAGCAACAATCAACCTCACCTCTTCCATCTGTCTGACCATTTAGGACTGTCCTCCCAGTTCTACATTTGAGTCTGAGCTGACCTGCAATACTGAAAGTCTTTGAGGACTGTAGTCTGTTCTCTACTCTATTTGTAGCCACTGCAGCACCTAGGAGAGTGCTGGGCAGGCATGTCTTACTTTGCAAACACTTGAAAGGACTAACGTGCACCTCCTCTGCTACCTCCAACTGCTTCTTGAGTCCTCCCCTCCATTTTACACACACACACACACACACACACACACTCCTCAGTCAGAATCAACTCTGACCAAAAAGTGAAGTTGAAACCACCAGGCACACCGTACTCATACCCATGCAAAAAAAATCCCATGTTGACTTTCCTTGAATTCCTGGAACTTCATCAGTGGCTGCCCCACATTTCCTCCCCAAGACTCCCCACACCCTCACGCAGCACATTCCACCATGCTCACCACATACACACTGGGCCTTTCCCTTCCAAAGAAAAATGTGCCTCTCCTAAAAATGCTATTTCCTCAGAGACGTGCCCTTTTTTTTTCTTTTTTTTTTTTCTTTTTTTTTTTTTGAGACAGATTCTTGCTTTGTCACTCAGGCTGGAGTGCAATGGCATGATCTCGGCTCACTGCAGCCTCCGTCTCCTGGGCTCAAGCAGTTCTTCTGTGTCAGCCTCCTGAGTAGCTGGAATTATAGGTGCATGCCACACGCCTGGCTAATTTTTGTATTTTTAGTAGAGACAGGGTTTCCCCATGTTGGCCAGGCTGGTCTTGAACTCTTGACCTTGTGATCTGCCCACCTCAGCCTCCCATAGTACTGGGATTACAGGCATGAGCCACTGTGCCCAGCCCAGTTTTTTAAGAGAATAAATTAACTGGTGTTAAAATAAGTCTATCCTAAAGGCTGTGATTTCCTCTGGGTCTAGCCTCCATTGCTTCTGCTTGGACTTTGCCCATAATAAACCTCCATGCTTCAGTCTGCCACTTTCTCACCATCCTTACTGCCGCATGATGTATACAAAGGATACTGTGCAACTTTAGAAAGAATGAGATAGGTCTACTGTGCCAGCATGAAAAGTGTCAAGACATTTTTGTTTGTTCGTTTTGTGTTTTTGTTTTTTGAGACGGAGTCTCACTGTTGCCCAGGCTGGAGTGCAGTGGCGCGATCTTGGCTCACTGCAAGCTCCACCTCCCGGGCTCATGCCATTCTCCTGGCTCAGCCTCCCGAGTAGCTGGGACTACAGGCACCCGCCACCACACCCGGCTAATTTTTTATATTTTTAGTAAAGACGGGGTTTCACCATGTTAGCCAGGATGGTCTCGATCTCCTGACCTCGTGATCTGCCCGCCTCGGCCTCCCAAAGTGCTGGGATTACAGGCGTGAGCCACTGCGCCTGGCCTAGCGTCAAGACATTTTAAGTGCAAAGATCAAGTTACAGAGAAGTGTGTGCAGAATGACACCATTTGTGTGAAAAAGAAAAAAGCCTATATAAGTATAGCAAATATCCAGAACTGCATTGTCTAATATGGTAGTCACTCGCCACATGTGGCTTTTTAAATTTAAATTAATTTGAATTAAATAAAATTTAAAATTCAGTGGCATTAGTCACAGTTAAGGTGCTCCATAGCCCCGTGTCTGTAAGCTGTATTAGACATTGCAGATATGGAACATTTCCATCATCTCAGAAAGTTCTGTTGCACAGAGCTGATCTACAGGGATATACATCAAATGTTTAAAAATGGTTTCTTCTCTTTTTTCTCCACTTCTTTTCACAGGTATTGAGAAATATGGTTTCTTCTGGGAATGAAATTGGGTTGGTTAATGGGGGAAGGGATTTATACTTTTTATATATTTCTTCGCAATTTTTATTTTATGATGAGAATAAATTACTCCTATAATTTAAAAAGAAAGCTTTTTAAAATTGGCTAACAATTAAAATGTTCTGCAACTTATTAATTTCCAGAGACCCTAGGCCCTGAGCAAAATTTCCAGAGGCTGGGCAACAGAATGACATTGTTGCTTTATTTTCTAAACAGTCCCAGTTGGAACATCCCTCTTACATGTCCCCCCACCCTTACCTCCCACACATCAATTCCCCCAGAAATAGGGAGGTGAGAAAGCTGCGAGTGAAGCAACATACTACCAGCTGGAATATATAAAACAGGTATAAACAACTAGCCCTGCCCTCAAAGAACTTAGAATCCTATTAGGAGACCAGATATACACATTGAACAACAGAGATTAAAGTAATTGAATGAGACACCAATGAGAAAAACACCTAATGCATATTGGGCATTTGTTATGCATCAAGCAATGTTCTAAACACTTTACAAGTGATATCTCATTTAATTATCACAACAGCCCCACAAGGCAGGTATTTCAAATCCCATTTCACAGATAGGCCGAGAGTGATCAAGTAACTAACCTAAGACAATACGACAAATGTGCAGGCAGGTTGGGACTCAGGGCTTTGTTTCTATTGTACCCTTGGGGAAAGTGGGTATGCAAAGGACAGTAAAGACCAGACAGGTCTGAGTAAGGAGCTCCTGCTGGGGACCAGAGGGAGATAACCATTATGGTTTCTTTTCACCAGGTAAAACGGACCATTACCAGACAACAATGGAAAAAAAAAGCCTTACAATCTATGCCCAAGTCCAGAAACCAGGTGTAAGTTCTATATTTTGTTTGAGATGAACCTGTCCTCTTTCCTATAGGATTCCTGGCCAGTCTACCTTGCTTGTTGGACATTCACAGTTTTCCATCCAGAGCAGAGGAAAGTAGGGAACAGGAGTCAAGAACAAGAGTTCTCGTAAAGGTCACTAATAATGGGTAACACTGGATAATTTTCTGGTCATGTTTCTTCATAGCAAAAAAATGAAGAAGCTGGAAATAAATACTGTATGTATGTATCTTTCCAGCTCTGGCATTCTAGGAGCCTAGGGTTCCATGTTACTCAATTATTTCCTTTTCTAGGGAAAACAGTGCAGGCTTGAGGAGAGAGGAGAAGGTTTGGAAAAGCTATTGTGTGACATGTTGTACTGATCCAAGTTTAGGCATTTACAAAGTGCAAAGGTGACAAGGAAGGTGGGATCTTCAAAATTCTAGCTAGAGTGTGGTTAAAGAGATGAAAGATGATATATAGATTGGAGATGGAAGAAAGCATTGTTGAGTGATCATCGGACTAAGAAGTGAAGGATGGAAAACCGGATACATGGTGAAGTTGAGAAGCAGATATGGTAGAAGGAAGGGATAGAGACACTAAAAGCGTCATGGTTAGATGTAGAGACACTGTTGTTTTTCAACGTGAAGGCAATTCTTGGTATTGTATAGGCCAGAATCTGGCCATTTGGGGTGTAGGAAGAGGCAAATTCTTGAGTAAAGGATGTGAAGGTAAACACGGTTTTGATTAGTACCTTAGAAAATTGCATCAAAAGATAGCAAATGCACTTCTGAGAACCAGGAGATGGACTCCTGGACAAAGTTCTTATTTCTGCTGTCCCCTAGTGGCCTGGAGGGTTTATTACACAACCCAGCTCCATCCTTCCCTCAACTAAACTCCGTTTACATAGATGAGAACCCCAAGAGTAACCCTTTCCCCCCATGCTCTCGTCTGCATATTTAGGTAACCAGGTTCATCTTTACCATAGTGTCTTCCCTCACTACTCTATCCTATGCTGCTAGCATCCCTCTTTTTTACTGTGAAGCATGACATATGGTAGTCACTAGCCACATGTAGGTTTCTAAATTTAAATTAATTTGAATTAAATAAAATTTAAAATTCAGTGGCATTCATCAGTTCAGGACTGTCCTCCAGTTCTACATTTGAGTCTGAGCTGACCTGCAAGACTAAAAGTCTTTGAGGACTGGAGTCTGTTCTCTACTCTATTTGTAGCCACTACAGCACCTAGGAGAGCGCTGGGCAGGCATGTCTTACTTTGCAAACACTTGAGGGGACTAACTTGCACCTCCTCTGCTACCTCCAACTGCTTCTAATCACACTTTGAGTCCTCTCCTCCATTTTACACGCACACACACACACTCACACACACACACTCACGCATATGCACTCCTCAGTCAGGATCAACTTTGACCAAAAAAGTACAAAACACATTAATGTCAGCTCACTGAATTACCCTTAAGTGCATATCTCAATATTTGATAAAGCAAGTCTTCCTAATTTGTTTTTCTGCAAAAATTTTTGGCTATTCTTGTTCCTTTGTACTTTCATATGTATTTTAGAATCAACTTATTAAGTACCATAAAAAGAAAAAAATTTATTAGAATTGTATTGAGTCTACAGATCTGTATGAGGAGAAATTACATTTTTCAGTATTGCCTGTTTTTTTGTTTTGTTTTGTTTTGTGTGTTTGTTTGTTTTACAGAGTCTTGCTTTATCGGCCAGGCTGGAGTGCGGTGGTATGATTTGGGCTCACTGCAACCTCCGCCTCCTGGGTTCAAGTAATTCTCCTGCCTCAGCCTCCTGAGCAGCTGAGATTACAGGCATCTGCCACCACACCCAGCTCATTTTTATATCTTTAGTAGAGATGGGGTTTCCCCATGTTGGCCAGGCTGGTCTCAAACTCCTGACCTCAAGTGATCTGCCCACCTTAGCCTCCCAAAGTGCTGGGATTACCGATGTGAGCCACTGTGCCTGGCCTCAGTATTGAGTCTTCTAATACCATAAAACTACCACTCAGATCAAAGACTAGAACATTGCCCATACTTCCTGAAGGCCTCCTGTGCCACTTCCCAATCATTACTTCCTCTCTCCGCCCCAAAGATAACCACTATCCTGACTTCTAGAAATATAGTTTAGCTTTTTCCTTTTTTATCTTCGACCTTTATAAAAATTGAATTCTTTATTCTTTTTTCTCTCATGTCTGATTTATTTTGCTCAATATTATCTTTATGAGATTCACACATGTCTTTGAATTTAGATATAATGCATGCTTTTTCATTGCTTCATAGAATATAAATGTATGAGTATACTAGAGTTTATTTATCCAGTTGACTGTTGATGGACATGTGGGTTATTTCCAGGTTGAAGCTATTATGAAAGTTGCAGCTGTGAACAGTCATATGCAAGCCGTTAAGTGGATATGTGCAAATATTTTTGTTGAATATATACCTAGATATACCTAAAAGTCGAATTACTGAATCATAGAGTATGCATATCTCCAAATTGACTAGATAAGGCGGAGCTGTTTTTCAAAGTGGGTGTATCCATTTACTTCTCTATCAGCTACATATGAGAGTCTCAATTGCTATGCTTTATTTATTTATTTATTTATTTTTGAAACAGAGTTTCACTCTGTTGCCTAGGCTGGAGCAGCAGTGGCAGGATCTTAGCTCACTGCAACCTCTGCCTCCTGGGTTCAAGCCATTCTCCTGTCTCAGCCTCCCAAGTCGCTGGGATTACAGGTGCGTGCCACCACACCCGGCTCATTTTCGTATTTTTAGTAGAGACAGGGTTTCACCATGTTGGCCAGGGTGGTCTGGAACTCCTGATCTCAGGCGATCTGACCGCCTCAGCCTCCCAAAGTGCTGGGATTACAGGCATGAGCCCCTGCTCTCGGCCTCAATCGCTCTGCATTCTAATGAAAACTTGGTATTAACAGGCTAATTTTAGTCCTACTGTAGGATGTGTCTTATTATACTTTTATTCCACATCTCTCTAATTATTAAGGAAGTTGAGCAACTTTTCATATGTTTATTGGCCCTATTAAACTTTTTTCTTAAAGTGCACATTTAATCTCTTGCCCATTTTCCTTTGAAGTTTAGTCTTTCTTCTATGGACTAGCGTATGCTTTTCATATATTTTGGATATGCTCCCTTTGGCAGATATGTCAGCAAATACCTTCACCTATCTGTGGCTTGCCTTTGAAATTTCTCAGAGATACCTATTGGTAAAGAGAAGGTCTTAATTTTGTTGCAGACCAATTTAGTCTAGTCCTTTTCAAGCATTACTGGATTTTATTTGCTACTATTTTGTGAAGAGTTTTGTTTTCTACTTATGTTTCTGAGTGAAATTGGCCTGTAATTCTCTTGTGTAATGCCTTTTTTTTAAAGAAGGCACTGCAGTGGCTGGTATATAGCATTCTTCTGAATATATCTAATTGGGATACAAGTTGAGGTAGAAATATTTAAAATATCCTTAAAAAATAAGTAACAGAGTTCTTCCTGGGCTCTTCTTTAATCACAAGCCTCAGATGGATCCCAAAATGACAAAGAGCTACTCTACCTAATACCCACATCATGGTAAAGTTGGTCACTCTCCTGTTAAAAATTCAGACTTTAAGAACTGGAAGGGACCTGGGGAGTCATGCCTAACGAGTGGGGTTTTGATATAAAGATTTATGCTAATTCACATAATGAGTTGGGGTATGTGTTAGTTTCCTAGGGCTGCCGTAACAAATTATGAGAAACTTGGTGGCTTAAAACAACAGAAATTTATTCTCTAACAGTTCTGGAGATCAGAAGTCCAAAATAAGGAGCCACATCCTCAGGGCCACACTCCCTCTGGAGGCTTTAGGAGAAAATCCTCTGCCTTTTCCAGCATCTGGTGGCTCCAGGCTATCCGTGGCATTTGTTGGCTTATAGTTGTTTATTTGCAATTTTTGCCTTCATCTTCACATAACTTCCCTCTCTGTGTCTTCTTTTTTTCCGTCGCTTGTAAGGACACTCATCGTCAGACTTAGGATCTATTCTAATCCAGGATGACCTCATTTTGAAATCCTTATCTTGACATCTGTGAAGACCTTTATTCAAATAGTCACATTTTGAGATTCTGGGTGGACATATCTTTTGGGGCCACAGTTCAACCCACTACAGGGTGCATTTCCTTTCTATCGTTCTTTGGGATTTGGGGGTAGAATTGGTCTTATTTCTCCCCTTAAGTATTTGGTAGAAATGGCTAGTAAAGCTATCTGAGACTGGGGTTTCTTTGGTGGAAATTTTTTTAAGTTATATTTTTATTATTCAATTTTCTCCTCTACATATTAGTGAATAAGTTTTTTCTGTCTTTTTAGTGGCTACCCTAGAAATTGTAAAATATGTCTTTGACTTACCAAAGTCTAATGTTTACTTCTCTCCTGCATAATATGTTAAGTCCACAATAATTTCACCTCTTGATTTATGTGGCTGTTTTGTCATTATTTGAATTTCATATATATTTTAGACATATAAGACATAATTATTATTGTTTTATATACAAAATATATAATTAGACTTACCCACATTCTCACAATTTTCTTTGTTCATATTTGCAATGTCTTTATTATGTCATTATAAATACTGTAAGAATGTAGACAATTATTTAAAAACTAACAATGCCTTTAGTCTTTTTGGAATGGTTATAAAATAATCTTATAAAGAATATAATAACATGAAAATCACTTAACAAATGTTTACTGTGTGCTAGGAACTCTTCTAGGACTTATCAGAGCTACTATCTCGCAGAATTAATTCCAGGGGCCACCATTCACAAAAGTTATGAGAAAATAATGCCCCTGGAGTTGCTTGTAAATGATGTTCCCTAAAGATGTACAAATCAGTGATCCTAACAGAAGATGACAAGATACAAAAACGTACTAACTTATTATAATTATGTTTAAAATAATCCCCTATGCCTGGATAAAGATCCTGAAGTCAACATTTAAGCACACACATAGTCTTAATAGGACGATGGGTGATTTCTTTTACATATTTTTGTCTTTTCTAAAACTTCTAAATTAATGTTAAAAATGTAAGTTTATTTGCCTTCTTCCTTCTGCCTCTAGGTCAGGTCATGCTAAAGTTCTCCCAAACAGGAAGACCAGCAGAGGTTGCATGTGTTGTTCATGCCTTTTAATCTATCTCATTACTGCAAGAAATTCTTCCTTAAACTCAAAATTTCTTCAAAATGTATTTAAGAATTATATGGGATCTTGAAAGTCATCTATTTGAACCACCCAATCACTGCTTGAATTATCTGCTACAACATTACTTCCAAAGTGTTGCCTAGCTCCTTTTTACTGAAATATAGTTTGTGAACAAGCAGCATTTGCATCACCTGGGACTTCATTAGAAATGCAGAATCAGGCCCTGCCCCAGATCTTCTGAAGTAGAATCAACCCTTTAGCAAGATCCCCAAGTAATTCATATGCATAATAAAAGTCAGCAGCACTGGTTTAGACCATGCCCAAGCACTTAAAACTATAGGAGTTCATTGCCTGTCAAGGCAATTTATCCCTCATTTGAGCATCTTTTACTATCAGAAAGATCTTCATTATATTGAACCAAAGTATTTCCCCCAAATCCTAATCTTTGTTTAAACCTGAAACACTTTACAGGCAAATCAAATTCCTTTTCTGTATGGCAATTCATCAAATATATGAAGAGAAACATTATGTCCCATCCCTTTTTCCTCCAATAAACTTTCCTAATTCTTTAACCCTTCCATCACATAACAAAATTCCAAGCTTTCTCGCATCAAAACACAAGTGGTGTGGTTTCAAGTCTGGCTCTATACCCAGGGAGAGTGGACAGCAGCATTATCCCATAACCAGTGTCCCCGAAAAGTGTTGAATTAATGACTTCCCTATTATAAGGGATGGCATCCGCATCTTACAAGGATGTGGTCTCAATTTACTTTGAAGTCTTTGTCCAGGTATTGTGGATTTTAATTTGTTCAAAGTAACATCAACAAATATCAACTGAAGGGTTTATTGTTATGCGTCCCACACTGTTCTGTGGGGAATACAAAACTATATAGCTTATTTCTCAAGGAATGTGTAGACTGGAGAAACAACATATAAATATATCAGAATGTTTTAAATATAGCATAGAGTGCCATAAGGTATAAATTAGACTTTAAATACCTGAGGAATTTAGGTAAAGGATAGGTCATTATAAGTTGAGGTGACCAAAGAAGAATAGTGATAGGACATGTACCTTAAGTTAAAAGAGCTTAAGGTAGGGGACTCCTGGCTTTGACACTTCTTGCATGTACACATTAGGAAAACATTTGATCTTTCTGAGCTGTAGCGTCATCCTCGGTGAAGTGTGAGTAACAGTATTTAACACATAGAGTGGTTGTGAGGCAAATGAGAAGACATATGTGAGGAGGAGGAAGAGTAGGAATGGCAGTGTGGGATGCAAGAACTCCGCATGTAGCCGGTGATATGAGTGAGATGGACTAAATGCTGTTGCTATTCTGTCCCCTCCAGCTGCTCCTGTAAGAGCCACACCAATTTCAGTTTCTTTTGAGGAAGACATTTAAAACATCTGGGAAGCATTAACAATGGATGAGGCTGCCTTGGGAGGTTGTGCACTCCAAGACACCACTTGGGGAGTCCAAGCAAAGCCTGGGGAATTGAGTTCCAGAGAATTTGAGGCAGAATTCCCACCTGAGAAGGAGGTTGAACCAAATGACTCAAAGGAATGTTCTGCCTCAAGGCTTCTTGAGTCTGTGCTTCTCCATCAGAGAGATGGATGAGAACTAGCTCTCTCTGTTCAGCTAATCTGCTTTCTTTGCTTCTCTCGTAGCCTCTTCAGAAGAAACTTGACCCCTTCCCAGCTCAGGACCCTTGCACCACCATATATGTTGCTGCCACAGAGCCTGTCCCAGAGTCTGTCCAGGTGAGGCATCTCTCTGCCTACACTCTGTAGAGGGGGAATATATGGAGGAGGGGAAAAGGAGGAAGTTTTTTTTTTTTTTTTTTAAGATGGGAGGAGGGAGAGGATCAGGAAAAAATAGCTATTGGGCAATAGGCTTAATACCTGCGTGACAAAATAATGTGTACGACAAATCCCCATGACACAAGTTTACCTGTGTAACAAACCTGCACATGTACGACTGAACTTAAAAGTAAAAAAAAAAAATTTAAAAACTAAAACAAAAACAAATTAAATGAAACACATTGATGAGTCCTGGACCGGGGAAGGTAGGCCACAGCATGCAGGCAAAAAAGAGTCTCTGTGGCCTTGGTTTTCCATTTCCATGAAACCCCCAACACCTGCTCACATGGGGCCACTGCTCACTCCCTGCTGGCCAGTGTTTCTCTGAGAGTTGTCCAAGGACCACATCAGAATCAGCTGGCGTACTTGTTAAAAATAAAGATTCCTAGGGCCTTCCATCTAGGATTCTGTTAAATGAAAATGTCTATGGAGAGTAACCAGGGACCTACATATTAAAAAACCCACACCCCAGGTAATTCTGATACACACTCAAGTTTAGGAACAGCAGCTGGAGTCCAGGAGTTCTCAACTCCAGCTACAAAGCGGAATCACCAGGGAAGCGCTGTAAAAATGCTCATGCCTAGACTCTGTCCAGCCCCATTTAATCAGAATATTTAGGGGTGGAGCTCTGCATAGGTGTTAAACCTAGAAGAGAATATGAGGTGCAGCTCAAAATGAGACTTGCCTGTTCTACCCTATCGCAAGATCAGCAGGGACTAAGTTTACTTGTGACAGGAATCTTTCCTTTGCTGAATGAACAGAAATAAATTCTGGGCTGAAAGCTTTGGTCCACTTGGGCTGTTTCAGAAGAGAGCCCAGGATTATAGAGGTACAAAGGTCACACAAATGCCTGCATCCACCTTATTTTTCAAAGCTCTTACCGCCCACACACCCACCCAGAAGTGCCTGGGCAGGTGTCCTATTTCAAGATGAACTCCATCTTCAACTTGAGATCCATTCTCAGTACACTGTCATATCTAAGAGGGAAGTAAAAATATAAACCTGACTTCAAAAGCTTCAAAAAATATATAGATTTTTAATGAAATTTACTTAAGGACAAAACCAATATGCTATAGTTAACACTTTATGGAAAAACCTCTTAAATTCCCATTCTCTTTTATTTGTTTCTTTGACATGAGAGATCTTTGCGCATAACCCTCTTCTCCCCTTCCTCTCCCCTACCAATACCACTTTTCTCTTCTCCCTTTGAGTCCCGCTAGACTTTTTAAAAACTCAATAATTTACAACTCTCTTGGCTTCCGCAGATTGTGATCCATGCCTAACAGCAAAACAAATGGTTTGCCTTACAAAGGGATGGAAGGGGAGAGGGCAAAGGGGGAGACAGGGCATTGAGTGCTGGTCCTCAGATCATGCTCCCCATAATGGCATGCTTATGCTTGGAAGGGAGCTGTGGCCCTTGTTGCAGGTGGAGAAGCAGTGTGGGTACCCAAGTGCTGCCCCAACAAGGCCCTGTCTGTGACAGACCCTGCACAAGCCGTGATCTCTAAGCCCCTTTCCTTTTCCTCAGCAGCGCTGTTTTCATTTGCATCCTATGAAGTGAGTATCCAGTCCCTCCACTCACAGACTTCTGCTTTGTCCCCAGGAAACAAATTCCATCACAGTCTATGCTAGTGTGACACTTCCAGAGAGCTGATACCAAAGACCCAACAAAGGGACTCTCTGAAGGAAAATGGAAAAAACAAAATGAACACTGAACTTGGCCCCAGGCCCCAGGTTTCCTCTGACAGACATGCTACACATCTGTACCCTTCTTGGATCAACTGCCTGGTGATGTTTCTTCCACATACATCTGTGAAATGAACAAGGAAGTGAGGCTTCCCAAGAATTTAGCTTGCTCTGCCGTGGCTGCAGGCGCAGGACAGAGCGTTACTTGATAACAGCGTTCCATCTTTGTGTTGTGGCAGATGAAATGGATAGTAATGTGAGTTCAGACTTTGGGCATCTTGCTCTTGGCTGGAACTGGATAAGAAACACCAAAGACTGAAAGCCAGGACATCTGAGTACCTATCTCACACAGTGGACCACCAGTCACAAAGTCTGGAAAAGTTTACATTTTGGCCGTCTTTACTTTGTTCTGGGAGCTGATCATGATAACCTGCAGACCTGATCAAGCCTCTGTGCCTCAGTTTCTCTCTCAGGATAAAGATTGAATAGAGGCTGAAGGGTGAATTTCTTATTATACATAAAACACTCTGATATTATTGTATAAAAGAAGCTAAGAATATCATTATTTTATTTGCAAAACCCAGAAGCTAAACAGTCAATAAACAGAAAGAACGATTTTGAGATCTCTGAGTTTTGAACAGTGGACTGGAAACCATGTAAGAGTCTTAAAAGTCCACTTCTGTGCAAATGGCATTCAGTTTTAAAGAAAAAAGTAGCAAATGTTTGATGGTGCTGTTACAAAGGAGCTTGGAATACTAAGAGGAACTTGTCCCATGGTGATTTTTCACTTCTCAAAATGATGTTTAAATCCCAGTTCTCTGTTGATTCCCTTGAACAAACCTGGAACCTCAGCTAAGACTCTGTGACCAGATTCTGAACGTATTTTATATCCAGGGCTTCAAGGGGGTATTGCAGGTCAAGGTCTTTCCTTGGCACTTTCTACTCCCTGCATACCTCTCCTCACACTAAATTTATCTTCTAGTAGAAAATTAAGTTATTTTGGTCTAACAACTTCAAATCATTGAATGCTCAATAACTTATTTTGCAAGCTGCAGGCAGAAAGAGCCTTTTTTTGGTAAAGTCCTATGTTTTTTCCTATTCTTTGCTTTCAGACAAGCTGTCTTCAATTTAAGCTCTTCTTGTTCTTATTGGTTCTTATATAAACTTGGCAAGTGCTGTAAGAAACAGCTACTATCATACAATTGCATAATAAGGGGCACAAACTTCCCAGCTCAAAACTCTGGTCCTTATTGCCTTGTATCTTTCCTCCTTTATGTGGTCAATTCACATTGTAAGCCTGTTGCTTAGTGCATCTCGTTTCTTGGTATCAACTTCTTTAATAGAGTTCTTGGTTACAATCAACAGAAGCTGGCTTTGGCTTTTTAATGTAGAAAAGGAACCTATTGAAAAGATACTGATTGGTTCCAGTAACTGCTAGAAGGTTCTGCAAAACCGTGCTTTGAAAGTGAGCAGGAAAAGAGGAGACTAGGCTTTGGGGGCACAGCCAAAATTACAAAACTAGCCCAGGGATGACCATCCTGTTCATGCACAGCCACTGTCCCCAGCACTAGGCACAGACTCTACCACTGCCTCACTGTCTCTGCTGGACTTGGAAACTTGATATTACTGTTACTGCTGCACTGTCTGCCATGAAAGTGAATTCTCCAGGATGCTTCTTCATCCTTTCATCTCTAGCTTATAATTCAAAGTCTGGAATTGAGTGGTCAATCCTAGGTCACATGTCCATGTCCTATCTCTGAGGGAGGCTGGTAATTGAATATCTGGCATTTTCCATTTTCACTTCTTGTGAATTAAGGAATTCTACAAATAATAGAAGTGGGATTCAGGTGGTAGGCAGACAAAAATGCCTCACAATTATACACTATGCCACCCTTGTATAACCTTACCCTCATTCACTGTCTACTCTCAAAACTGTGGAGCTACTAACGAAGATTTGTAAACGCTAGGCTTATGAGCACCCATTCCTTTACTACAACTCAGATTGTTCTAGAAGCTCAGTTCCCAGCACTTGGGTTTTTCCAGTAGCTGAATTCTAACTGATGGAAGGACAGAAACAAAGGGTGAAGAAGAGGCTTTCACTTCCAAGTATCCTGAACCCCTGGGCTCAAGACCTCACTGGGGAGGGAGTCTTTTGGGCCTCCCACCAAACATCACTGGCATTATGCCTCTCACCCTAGACCATGTTTACAAGTGGGAAAACAACCCCTTCTGGTGATACATTCACCACTCTCTGGTTTCCCCCAAAAGGGAAACTATGGGGAGCAGGAGCTTGCGTTTTCCTCAGGCTTAAAACAGTAAGTTTTCCCCGTGTTTCCCTTCTAATGCTGTTTTCTTTTGACCAAGCATGTCTGAATTCTAGAGAAGTCAGGAGGAAAACACACCCATTCTCAGTTTGAAGGGACTGATGTTCTGAAGTACAACTGGGCATAGTCCCAGGCTCTTCAGGACGCTTCCTCCTTTCACACAGCGGAGGTGTAATTATTACAGGGGGTGGTGTGTGCTGGCTGAGAAGCCACTGTGAATTGATTCTTCTTCCAAAGTTTATGTTTCTACTTTTCAGAAATGAATAAATTACAACCAGTCCATCAAGGAAATTGCACTTTTGTCTTGTGTTTCCTAAAGGATTTATAACACAGTAGCATGGCATGATGTGTTTCCTGGCCTTATGTCTCCATGCCATAGTTATGAAATGCTGAAGGAGGCAGATTTGATCAGATAGGATGTGAGGTTGTCCTTTTCCTGGAGGTGGACAAGGGTTAGCTTGGCATCCCTTTCACTAAAGGTCAGGAAACACCCTCCACATGGAGAACTGTGTTGAAAGGATTGTTTAATTTTTGTCACTGCCAGAGTAATTCCCTTCCCTGAACTCTTCCAAATTCCCCTTGTGGACAAAATCTAGAGCAAGGTTTCTCAACTGCCACACTAATGACATTTGGGGCTGGATAATTTTTTTGTCATGGGGCTGTCCTGTGCACTGTAGGGTGTTTAACAGCATCCTTGGCCTCTGCCCACTGGGTTTATAGCACATGCCCTGTCCTTGATTGTGACAATCAAGTGTCTCCAAACACTACCAAATGTCCCCTGCTTGGCAAAATCTCCCCAAGTTGAGAGCCACTGATCTGGAGATATGCTGGCCCCCTGGTGAGCTTTGAGAAAACTAAATACATTTCTATATACCTAAATACATTTCTAAATACATTCTATATAAGAAGTAGTCTGTCAAAGGTGGCCACCTGGTCACTTAAGCATGGCCCAAACCTGCCAATAACAACAAAAGCTACCTAAATATTAGAATTACCTGGGTAACTTTTAAAAAATAGTGATGACCAAATCTAACCTGAAACCAAAATGAGAGCTGGGTTGAGGTCTATAGAACTACCACCTTAGAGATTATACCACAGAAAGGATTTTGTGATGAGTTTCACACACCAGCCACAAGAGGGTGATATAGCAACACGACCTACCCAACCTTAGTATCCCCACCACTTCCTTGTATCTAAAGGATGTGGACTTAGTCACAGACTGGCTGAAACTGCCGCTGGTTTCTCAGTTCTTACAGGCTGCAAGGAGATAAGGAGGCCAATGTGGATTAATGACAGGCTCTAAAAGGTTAACTGTACTAAGTTTATTTCACAGAAGACTTCTAGTTCTACTCAATGCTTCACTTATTCAACAAAGTTATTAAGTTCCTACTAAGTGTTTGAGCTTGTCATCCAGCAGGAGATACAGAGAACACAGACAATTGAAATATTATGACAGGTAGATCACTATGTGATCTATTGAGACCCATTGGAAAATAAAAGAAGATGCTATTAATAATTACCCTGGGGCAGGAGATGGCAGCTAGGAGGCAGGACTAACTTGCAACTCTCACTCAGAAGAACATGTGTGAAGACTCACATCATGAACTTTTGCTCCAAGAACCGTTGCAGGAATATAGCAGGAAAACTGAAAGAATTCACAGACCCTTTGAAAGAAGTGGCTTGCCACCATGAACTCAGTGAAATAGCTGAAAAACTGTGAGTGCCTAAAGTGTGAGAGGGGGAAAGTCCACCTCTGAACACACATCTTCACTGGGGAAACCTGAAAATCCAAATAACAGGAAAAGGATTTAACTTTACCTAGAGCTGAAATGAATTTAGAGAACCAAGCAAAATATAGAAGTAGAAGAAGCAGTGGGAAGAGCCCTGCAGGCACTCCTGGTCCCCTGGGAAGTCCAGGAAAGTCATTTATAACTTTATCTCACAGGGGTCCTTGGGGACGGCTGCCAGTGGAATTGGGGAAGGGCCACAGGGAGAAGGAAACTTCCAGCTGAACTTTGTAGTAACTTTGACTGAGTATGAATTGTCCTGGCAGGATCTGTGGAGATGAACAGAAAGTGCAGATACGAACACAGAAGCCACAGTACGCAGGGAGGGGTGAGGCCTGAAAGCCCTGCCTGCCTTCTCAGCAGAGAGGATAGTATCCCAGGGCAACATCCCAGCCCTGCTTACCAGAGGCCTGGATATAAATTTGACTCTGTCAGTTACTGGGGGAGCATGGCGGGAGTGAGACTGGCCTTGCTGGCTCTGTGGGAGTGGGGTGAGGCCTATCACCGCTGGCTTTCCCCCACTTCCCTGGCTACCTGTACAAAGCAGCAGAGGCAACCATAATCCCCCTGGGGAACATAACTCCATTGGCCTGAGAACCACACCCCCATACTCCACAGTTGCCACGTTAAGCCCTGCCCAAGGATAGTCTGAGCTCAGACATGCTTAACTCTGCCCCTACCTGATGGTTTTTCTCTGCCCACCCTGGTAGCTGAAGACAAAAGACATAATCTTGTGGGAGTTCTGTGGCCCTGCCCATAACCTGAGAAACCCAAATACTTATCCAGGTGACCTTAGAGCAAGTTTGTATTCCCCCTATACTGCTGCAGCTGATGCTGTCTTGAAATTGCCACCTTCTGGCTGGAGGCCAATCAAGTCAAGCCATTACAGCAACTCATAACAAAGCAGCCCTGCTCCAAGGAAGGAGAAAACAACAGCTAATTCCACTACTTGTAACATCCTGGCTAACCAGAGGTCCTGAGTCTGTCCACATGACAACTTCACTGTGAGTATAACCAGCATTTGAGAAAACCCGCGCACTAAACAAAACTACAACCACGGACTCTCACAAAATCTGCTTCACTCCCCTGCTACCTCCACTGGAGTAGGTGCTGGTATCCATGGTTGAGAAGCCTGAAAATAGATCACAACACAGGACTTTTTGCAGACACTCCCCAGTACCAGCCTGGAGCCTGGTAGGTCCACTAGGTGGCTAGACCCAGAAGAGCAATAACAATCACTGCAGTTCAGCTCTCAGGAAGTCCTATCTCTAGGGGAAAGGAGAGAGCACCACATCAAAGGATCACTCTGTGGGACAAAAGAATCTGAACAGCAGCCCTTGAGTCCCAGACCTTTCCTCTGACGTAATTGACCCAAATGAGAAAGAACCAGAAAAACAATTCTGGCAATATAATAAAAGAGAGTTCTATAACACCACCGAAAGATTACACTAGAAGATCCAAACCAAGAAGAAATCTCTGAATTGCCAGAAAAAGAATTCAGAAGGTTGAT